TCGCATCGCAGGCCGCGCGCAAGAAATCCAATGCTCCCAGGAACGAGGCCAAAGTGGTTGTCCCACATAGATGTAGTTTCGCGAACACTTCCCCCTCACTCTGGCCCAAAACGTTCTTGTAGGAGGTGGTCATGACGTTGAAGGGTCTCCAAACCAACAAGGCCGCGCTGAGCGGCGGTATCCACCAATGCCGTTCCCTCGTCCTCATGGACGGCCAAATAACAAAAGGAAAGAACAGCAGCGGGCATGTATTCCTCACTCTTCTTCAGCTCAGGTGTCGTGGTGAGAAAACTACCACCTCCCGTCAGTGTTGTCGCGGCAGGCTGCGCAAAGAAACCGGTGCTCACGCCCGTGGTGGATCCTGAACTCCTCGATGTCGGTGAGGCATGCTTGGAGCGATGTGGACACTCGCGGCTCCAATGTCCAACTTGTTTGCACTGATGGCAGCGTGTCTTGGCTTTCAACTCGGTCAAGGTGAGCTTCGAGCCAACAAGCTCCACAAGATTGACCGTTGACCGCCGCATTAGCAACAATGTCATTTCAATCATCTGCGATGCGGAATGGCTGAGGTCACTGTTAAAGGCGATCCAGTTCACGATGGAGATTGCCTCATTATGATGTACTTCAGGTACCCATGCATCGAAACACCCCAGCCTCGTTCCATACCGACTATCGGACGAAGGAAACGCTGAGCACGACGAGACCTGCATAAGACAGGCTCGCGGCGCAGCCAAGAAACAGTATTGAAAGCGTTTCAAGCGCTTGATCAACGCTGACCTGCTCTTGCCAGATTCTGATAAGCGTTGGCGCGAACCACTCAACTCCACTGTTCGGAATTTTACGGACTGCGGCCGAAGGACACGGTCAAAAGCTGGCGCTCAGCAGGCAATTGATCGCCAGCGGCGAGCAACAACTCCAAGGGACTGATCTACCGGCCCTGACGCAGAGCAGGAACGGTCTCGGTCAGAACGAGGCGGGCATTGGGTCAGGAAGGATGAGCCTTGTGATGTTCGGTCAGAGCTAACGCGGAATTCTTTTCACTTTCCTTGCTTTTTTCGGTCGTCCTGAGCGCAATGAACCGCTCTAGAAGTCATAATTCAGTAGATGAGCCGTTTTGAATGGCAGTCTTTTCAGCTTTGTGGCTTAGCTTTAGTTTTCAGCCTGCTTGTGCAGTTCCATGACACGTGCATGCTTCAGAGCAAAGAAAAATTGTGTCTGTTTTTCCCTCAGATAGCGAAGCTATGGGGTTCTTACTTCAAATTAAAACGAATTGCCCATGCGCGCTTTCGAGACAGGTTGCTGGTGCTGGGGCTGGGCGCCGGTGCTGGTGCTGTGAGCTGGCTGTGCGCGTGGTGGAGACAGGTTGCTGGTGCTGGCGCTGGGCGCCGGGCGCCGGTGCTGGCGCTGGAGCTGGTGCTACGTGGTGGAGACAGGTTGCTGCTGCCGGCGCTGGTGCTAGATGCCGGTTCTGGCGCTGGTGTCGTGAGCTGTGGCGCTGGGTGCCGGGCGCCGGGTGCCGGTGCTGGTGCTGTGAGCTGGACGCGCGCTTGGTGCTGTGAGCTGGCTGTGCGCGTGGTGGAGACAGGGTGCCGGCGCTGGTGCTGTGAGCGTGGTGGAGACAGGTTGCTGACCCCGGTACTGGGCGCCGGGCGCCGGTGCTGGTGCCTGTGCTGGTGCTGGCGCTAGGTGGTGGAGACAGGTTGCTGGTGCTGGCGCGCTAGGTGCCGGTTCTGGTGCTGGTGTCGTGAGCTGTGCGCATGGTGGGGACAGGTTGCTGGTGCTGGGTGCCGGGCACGGGGTGCCGGTGCTGGTGCTGGTGCTGTGAGCTGGCTGTGCACTTGGTGGTGCTGTGAGCTGGCTGTGCGCGTGGTGGAGACAGGGTGCCGGTGCTGGGCGCTGGTGCGCGTGGTGGAGACAGCGGGCGCTGGTGCTGCTGGTGCTGGGCGCTGTGATCTGCCAGCGCGTGTGCGCGTGGAGACTGGGTGTCGGTGCTGGGCGCTGGCTGTGCGTGGTGGAGACAGGGTGCCGGTGCTGGTGCTGGGTGCTGGGTGCCGTGAGCTGGCGTGCCGGCGCTCGGTACTGGTGCCCGCTTCTGACAGTGAAGTGAAAACAACCGCCGCTTCTGACAGTGAAGGGTGACAACCTGCCGCTTGTAGCAGTGAAGGGCGACCAACAGCCGAAGTGCCAGCAGTCATGGGCCGCATGAACTTATGCATGCAACATCATACGGTGCGTCGCTTGAGGGTTCTTCGTCTATTTGCGCTGTGGGGTATTTACACTCTCCAGGTTCTGTTTTGGCCGACAGCTGTGTCAACCGCTGTACTGTTTGCGCGCATACTTTTGTACGTATCATGTTCTACGCGCAACGTCAGGCTCTCAACCGACCATTGTTTCAGCGTGCTTCAGCATGCTACACGCGCAATAGTCGTGCTGGATACTGCTTGGCCTTGCACGAGTGAAGCCTACGGGCTTTGCCGTTTGCGCGCGTACTTTTGTGCGCATAAACTTATACGCGCAAAATCATACGGCCTTATCGTTCTCCAGATCTTTGCTTCAAGCATGCTACAAAGTCAATATAGTGGCGCTGGATACTGCTTGGCCTTGGGCCAATGACACTTACGGGCTTTGCTGTTTGCGCATAAACTTATGCGCGCAAGATCATCAGTTGTTATTCCCCAAATAGGGATAGCTATGGGGTTCTTACTGCAAATAAGAATGAGCTGCGCGCGCTTTTGAAAGGGTGTCGGCGCTGGTGCTGGTGTTGTGGTCCTGGGTGTTGGTGCTGTGAGCTGGCTGAGCGCGCGTTTAAGACGGGCGGCGGCGCTGGTCGGGTGCTGGTGCCGCTGCCGGTGTTGTCAGCTGGCAAAGCGCGCCGGCGCTGGTGTCAGCTGGTTGTGCGCGCTGTGGAGGTGCTGTAAGCTAGCTGTGCAGGCTGCGTACATTCTTGTTCCAGCCAGTCGCATGTCAACAGGTCGTGGGATTCTGCCTAGCTATCTGGGTCTATGTTGGTGTAATGTTTTCTGTTTTCGGCCCTTGTTTACGCTGTTGCTTCAACTTGGTTATCTGGCGATATGCTCTTAGGCAATGCATTGACGTGCCATAACATTTGGCTCAAGGTGCTCAGTGCGTGCGTGAAAAGCCGCTCATTTGCCTTCGCACACTCGCTCTTGTGCAGACTGTTGGACTGTGAGTTGACTCCAGGGATACTGTGTATATTGACCCTCACCCCCCCACATCGTGTGAAGCGAATCAGTAAGACCCCTCCCCCCTTGACGAGTTGAAACAATATTGAAGGGACACGACATCACAAGCATCATACCCAGGGGATTTTGTTCCATTTTTTCCTTGCGGAACACCGTGGCCAAAAAGGTGTTCTCACATTCGTCGTTGTCATCGCTTTCGTTCCCCGCCAGTCAAGTGAAGCTTCATCAGCGTTCAGGCTGTCGAAGCCGGTGCAGAGGTCACAGTTGAAACGGCGCTGGATTCTTAGTCCAGGTCTATTTTTGTAAGGAAATGTTCAGTGTACTGTCCTGTTGATGATTCAGGGCCCTTGACAACCATCTATCCAGCTCAGTTGCACCGCTTCAGGACTTAGACTTGGCATAGTTTGTTTTGTGGCAGCCAAACTCTTTAATCTTTATATACAATCTTTTTGCCCCCAAAACAGTTTACTGTTGGGGCTCTTTTTTGACGAAAAAAACACAGGACTGGCCACAATAGCCGTGCCTGTGCTGTGCGCCCTTTCTTTTCCGCCTTGCTTGGGGCTTGTCTAGCGTTGTGGGCCCTGTTTTTTCCTCCTTGTCCGTTGCACTCAGATTCACATATCGTTAGAACATGTTAGAACAGATGTCACTCGAAATTTCAGTTGCTGTCAAACAATTTTTTGGGGAAGGGGGGGTGTGCTAAAAAACGCATTTTCTAGGTTTACATGCTGTTCCCAAGCAGCTGGAGGCTATAGGAAAACAATTGCAAATGTGTCCACCAACATTGGAACGTTAAAAAATCATGCTGAATTTTTTGGGGTTTGTGCTGGTACTGTATAATTTGTCAGCTTCACGATGTACATAAGGACTATATGAGGGGTCTAACTGTTAGCCGATGCTGGTGTGCAATGATGACCCTTCACTTGTTTTCGTTGTTTGGCATGTCTGTTTCCTCCGATTATGAGTTTGGAAGAGGTGCACTTCTGTATTCCTGAAGGAGGGAACCTTCTTGCACAAGGTGGAAACGGCCATGGTCAATGCAGAAGAAGGCTGAGATGATTCTGCAACTTTGTCACAGTTGTTTTCGATTGCTGGCACCGGCACGGCACGTGTAGGCTTCCTCCATGTTGGACATGCGGCAGAGATAGGGGCACGTGCGATCAAGCAGGTACGTCGGGTGTGATGGAGTCAAAACTTCTAACTGCGGTGGTGCGCGTGCTTGCAAAGTTGATGCCGTTTCTTGTGAGGTGGCTGAAGGAACAGCAGAAGCAGGTGAAGTGATTGTGACAGCAGCAAAGGAGGTAGCCGGTGAAGTCATTGCAAGAGCTGCCGAAACCGGCGAATCACTTTCATCAGAGGCCTGGTTGAGTTCGCTTTGCCTGAATTTGAGAAGAACATTTGCTAATGCTAATACTAACCCGCATGCTTGATCAGTTTGCTTCACATTTCACTTACATAACATATTGTTTGCTGGCTCAGAGGTGGTGTCGATAAAGCAATCTTTGCCTGCGAGCTAGCGTGGAAAAGACACGATTTGTTCCGCTACTGAGCAATGTGCTGCGAGAGTGTTCTTTGTCCTTCGCGCTTGATGAGCTTCCAGCAGTGTTCTTACAATGACAAATCTGGAGTGATTGGGAGAAGCAGCAAACAACTTGACCTTCCTTCCAATTCAAGGCTATTTTGTATCGTGCACTTATGTGCAATTTGAGGCTTCAAACTTTGGGACTCGTCTTTAACCACCAGACTTTCATTTGCATTCTTTCCATGATCTCATGCTTACCTGTACCTTATAAGTTAAGATCTTGTTGTAGTTATATATTGTAGTTAGACACCTGCCTTGCAAGATGCCACGGAAAGAAGACCGGAAACAGGCTCGACACCTTCTTGATCAACATCAAATCAGCATCCGCAGTATCATGTTTGCGCCAGGACAAGCAGAAGACTTGGTTGGAGGAGTACTATGAAAATCCTGGTTTTGGTGGCTTGGGGCGGCACAGCAATTATGACAGTACTATGTGATGTTGAGCTTTCATTGCTATGTATTGATTGAGAATCGAAGCTATCATCATGATGGTGAGCTGTTTCATATTTCAGTCGCGCTTCTTGCAGTTTCACTTAGGTATATACTACATGTACTTGTAGCAGTTCATGTGTATTTCAATTTTACAGAATTTTACACATGCTTTTCTCATTTCAGCATGAACTTACACAAACCCAACTACATTTATATAGAGGAATTCTGCAGAATAGAAACCCTTTTCTTGCAGCTGTGTCGACCAAGGTTCACCTGGAGGGCCTGTTTCGAACTTGACAGACCAAGAGATGATTGATCATGTGGAGATGCTGGTAGAGCATTTGACCGATGACGATCCTAAAAAACGAATTAAAGCAGCCGAAGCGATGTCAGCGTACATAGCTGAAGATGCCTTTCTGCCTGAGAAAATGGAAGTTCATCCAGCACAGGTTTTGGCAACTTTGTTCTTTAAAGGTGTTCCTGACAGAATGGCTTGCATCAGCGCAGCCAGATGTTTGGCAATTATGGGAAGGAAGGCTGCGCCTTATGCATCGGCCGCCTTGACTAAGGTTCTTCAGAATTCAGGTAGTGACTTGCGTTATGAAGCCCTGGTTGCCTTGGGATATTTGGGTCCGGAAGCAGCTCCAGAAGCAGCTACTGCAGTGGCCAATCGAGTTACGAACGACGAAGATGCCCGTCTACGACGGCAGGCACTCCTCACCCTTGCGGTATTTGGCCCTGATGCTGCTGCTGCTTCTGGATTGGCTATTGCAAAGGCGTGCCATGATGAAGACACGGATGTCCAGGTTTCTGCAATGAAGTGCATGAAGGCCATGGGACCTGATATGGATGGTGCGATTGCAGGTCCAGCTTTGACGAAGGTCTTAGCATCTGGCTCACAAGAAATGCGACGCTTTGCGATGGAGACCATTGCTGTGATTGGAAAAGGCGTTGCTGCCTGCAGCAAGTCAGTGGCTGAGCATTTGAAACCTCTGCCTGGAAGTGACCCGGAGCTGCGCTGGCTTGCAGTTCTCGCATTGGAAGCAATGGGCCCAGAAATTGTTTACGAGCAAGAACTTCTACTTTCTCGTGCAATCAAAGATCCTGAACCCAAAGTTGGAGAGCAGGCTTTTTTGACACTACGTGATGCCGGTTGTATCAAAGGCATGATGGGATCCATGTACTTGGAAGAACGCATTTTTTCACCAGAAGTTCTACAGGCAACAAAGTTTGTAACTGAAAATAGTGATTCAGACAACTCAGACTCAGACTCAGGGTCAGACTCTGATGAAGTGGACGCTTTCGGAAGCTCAAATGGGAGTGAGGAGGAAGCTTCGGAAGAGGAAGAAAACAATGAAGAAAAGGAGGACTCGACTTGGGCACATAGAACATATTTACAGCGTGGTTGGAATATGTGCTTCTTGAATTATTTGGGGTGGCGTTCAGTAGTGTTTGGAAGTTGGGTTGAATAGACTTGAGTACGCTTTGCTTCATAGAGTCTTTCACAAACGCTCTTCTGCCCGAGCACTGTATAATTGTGTGCCACACTGTTGCAGTTCACCTGAAATGAAGACCTGTGTACAGGATGCAAGGCACTTCGACTGTTGATGAACAGTTCTTCCACGGAATTTGAGCGGTGTATATAGTTGTTTGCACAAGGCGCCCAAAGCATACTCAACACTGACTGCCAAGATCCAGCGGTAGTTTCGGACTCAGGCATGACTAGTGCGCACATGGTGGAAGAATCAGGACACGCGCTACTGTAACTTTGTTCTCTTGGAATGTGATCTACGCCGTTCCCAAACAATTCAAAGAAGCGAAGGAACTCAATTGTTTCCGCATATGCATAAATTCATTGTATTGCCATATCATATTAGCATAAAAGTAGCACAAGAGCATGTCCTGCTGCTATTGTGATGCCAAGGGGGTCATAGTCTTAATGGTCAGAGATGGAGGAATCAGCACTCTGGACTCACAGTCCTATTTCACGAATCAATCACGATTGTCGTTTCACGTGGAGTGATTCAAGGATCATGTCGGATCCCTGAAGCTTTCCATCCGAGCTTGCGCGTCCATCATCACCTTTCCCTTTCCTCAAGCTTGTATCCTACTGCAGTCTTCACACTAACTTTTGGTGGCCTTGCTTTGTCTATTGGTGAAAGCCTTTAAAACTGTCACTTGTGCACTTTCTATCTCAATTGGCATGCATTCAGTGGCGTGACAATTTTTTTGGTGGTGACATACTTATTTTTGTAATTGAATGTGCAGAATGGAATGGAGCTCTTGTTTGTGCTTGGCAGGAGAGGGAAGAGGAGGAGCGGAAAGAAGAAGAACGACTCAGGCGCAAACTTATGGCGAGCTGGAACTAGAGAACTTTGCAACTACAAGTTGATGGAGCAGAATAGGCACAGGCTTATCTTGGTGTTGTGTGCCTGAAGCCTCCGCTGAGAATTTGGTGGCTGTTTGCGCGGGGTTGAGGGAAGGAAATCGACGAGGAGCGAACTTGCACTTGTGCCCTAGAAGGCGACAGTACAGCGTCATTTGACGTCCCGCCACAGCCTGAAATGTGCTTGGTGTGAAAGGCACGAGCCAAGGCTTGGCTGGGATTTCCATGTCGAAGTCGAAGCAACATATTTGCATTTGTCTGACGCTTGCATGAACCAAAGCATGGAATCAGCTTAAGATGTGTCAACGCTGGCCTAGCGCTGCTAGAACTGTTCGCTGCCAGCACCCTCTAGCACCCTCTCAACCAAGATGTACATATAGAGACACATATTACAAACAACTATATTTTAATTTTTAAGTATATTTATATACAGTATACGTATACAAACTATTATATAGATAGTCACATAGCATCATTTAATTCAAGGTCACACGAGCTCAATAATACATGTTCACCATAGCAACCACGCTCAAAGCTACACCAATGGCCTTTTGACGCCATGTAGTGCAGTAAAGGTAAGGCCAGGAGCCCCTAGTAGTGTCCTTGCTCCTATTGTGTTTCCAGCCATGTTGGAGTTTGGTATGTTTTTCATGTTGGTCGTCGCAAGCTGAGCTTGATAGCGAGCTTTCTGATGGTGTGAAGTGACTGTGAACAAGTGAATCATCGTCCTGCCTAGGGTGATTCATGTATCCGATCCATGTCTTGGTTCAGTGTTGGGCCTAGGCAGCCCAGCAGGACTGCTCCAACCTGGTGTGTCCAGAAAATCATGTACGCAAGGTGAGCGGCGCTACAACCTGCAGGGTCCTGAGCTTTGGCTCTGACAATCCCTTTCTGATGCAAACCAAGAAAACACAGGCGGCTGGAGTCTTGCTGTTTGCTACTACTTTTTGTCAGGAGCGAATTGAAATAAAGCGAATCCTGCAAACTGCACAAGCAACCCAAGAAGGAGGAGCATTACGTTGCCCCAGAAAGAGCCTTTAGTCTAGTTAGTGATCCCGCTGACTGCCATCCCAACGCGATACGTTCTGTCTAGGCAAACGAAGTGAGTTTTGGGGGTGGGGAAAGCGAAAAGTGGGTGGACAAAATGTCGTTTAAAAATGCTCTTGTGATGTGAGTGATGCGGCAACTGTTGTAGTAACGTTTTTGGCATCATCAAGTGGGCAGTGGGCATGACGGCATTTTTGCATAATCAACTGCGCGTGATTGCTCTTTTAGGGTGCTTGGCAAATTTATCGGCTCCAGTATGATAACACACTATGATTTACAGTATTTTCCTTTAGTTTGTCGTCAAGCCAGGCGTGAAGTCGAGCCATGCGTGAAAGGAAAGATAGCACGACTTGCAGAGATTTAGATGCAAATAGTCTAGATGCATATATAGTGTCCTTTTGCGTTGTGTTCGAGGGCCGTCTCGGGTGCCCTCTGAGTAGCACCAAGGTTCCGCGTCGGGCCAAGAAGGGGGTACTTACGAAGAGCGGGCTCTGGCAAAAAGGCACCGGCAAAAGCCGGGCATGGTAACAATGACTTGTCGATGCAGGAAGCAGCTTTTCAGGCTGCCTTTTGGCGCTTTGTTTGAAATGGGTTCTAGCGGCTAGCACCAAGTTCCCCCAGAAAAGGCCTTAAGGAAGAGTTTGTTGCGCGCCTTGTTTGACGGCCGTCTTGGGGCAAAAAGGGCACCTCCGAAAAGCGGGCTCTGGCGATAAGACCCTTGACAAGTTGACAAGGCAGATGCATCTTCAAGCAATCACTGGGGCACATACTGTAAATGTATATTCAAGGATATTCAAGGGGTGTGCGCTGTGCGTCCCCCCGCTCAATGTACATTTGGCTACGGCCAAAAACATAAGGCTTGGATCACACACCCAAACCCACACACGATCCATACCTCGATCCATGGGGTATGGATCAAAAGGTGGGTGTGTGATCCAAGCCCTTGGATCACACAACCACCACCACCACTACTACAACCACCTCTGCTGCTGCTACTGCTACTCACTACTATCAGCAGTATTACCACCACCACAGATTTAGCGGAAGCCACTAGACTCAACTTCAAATTGACTTCCCATTCCAGCCAAAATTAATTACCGGAAGCCACTAAGTGTGGTCACAGCCGGGACTCGAACCATCACTACTACAAACCACTACTACAACCACCTCTGCTGCCACCACTCCTTCTGCTACTTTGCCTGCAACAGCTTTACTGCTGCTGCTACTGCTACTCACCACTATCACCAGTATTGCCACCAGACTCAACTTCGAATTGACTTCCCATTCCAGCCAAAAATTAATTAGCGGAAGCCACTAAGCGTGTTCACAGCCGGGACTCGAACCCTCACACTGTGGAAGTGAAGAATTGGAAACCGAGGCCTTTACCATTAGGCTATGGAACCCTTTGAGTGGAGGAGCCAACCCAACTAAGCCATATTAAATAAGGTGCTAGAACACAATATTAAGGCCAAACAGAATTAGCGGCAGCCACTAAACCAGTTTTCGGAGTGAGCCTCCAATCTAGAGCTGAAGCCACCACCTGTTAAATGTCTTGAAAGCCCACTGAGTCACCAATATGCGCGGCCAGCTGATTGCCCAATATGGACAGTGGAGCCCAAATTCACAGCGGCCAGAACTTCAAAACAGGCTTGCCGCAAACAGGATGGCTTTGATCTGGGAAGCCACCACCTTCACAGTGAATTGGTGAGAAAGTGGTGGGGTGAAGTGCCACCATGCAGATGTGTTCATGTCGGGGGCTTGGATCAAGTGACTTGTCGGTTTGATCCATAGGGCTTGGATCAGCGCTCTGATCCATAGGGTTTGGATCACTCTCACTGCAGCGCGGAACGATCCATACCAGGGTTTCTGGCCACACCCATTTCACGGTCTCCAGATTTCATTCCTGGCGAAGTGATTTAAAACATTTTTCTTGGAAGTTGCAAGCTTCATGACATGATATGGTGATTATGGATGTCCCTCGCCCCCGCTCATACATTTCCCTGGCAAAAATGTGTTCCCGCAGGCGGCTTGCCCCCCTTGCTGCCCTTGCTTTCATACATTATCCGGAAAATCAGCTTCCACATTTTCAAATGACATCATGATGTCCTGAAACTTTTTGACCCCATATCTTCATACAGTCGCCTCGAAAGCACCCCCCTGCGCATACATTCAGGTGCTGAGCCACTCCTAAGGCGGCGTTTCCAGAAACAGCGGGGGAACAAAAAACGTATTTTTTCTATGTTCAACCACACGACTTTCGAACGTTGTTTTTCGTATGAAACATTCCCCCTTTTTGGAGATGCGCGGGGTCATTTGGAGCATTCGATTTGAGTCTTGCAAGCCTCTGTTTGACATGAATTGGAAAATAGGGTGCTGTTTGACAGATCTAGATGCAGAGAGCCGGAGAAAAACCATTGAACCGCATTTCTGGGTTGGTGCCCTTCTGCGCTTTGTTTGACAGCCATCTCGCAGCAAAAAACGCCCCTGGAAAAGTGGGTTCCAGCAGCAAGTTCCCCCCCCAAAATGGGCACCTCCAAAAGGCAGGTCCCACTGATAGGGCGGACAAAGAGGCCACGACAGATGCATCTTGATGCAATTAAGATGATTTTTGCGAACGAAGTGGGTATTATCAGGGGGTCTGTGCGGGAGTGTTGTCGAGTCTCACATGGTTTGTTGGAAGTTCTTGAGTGAAGCGCGTTGCTCTACATATCTCTACAGAATTAAGCGTTCTTTTTCGGGATGTTTCCGAGATGATGATGTGCGATGACCGTACTGTGGTGGCATCAATGCGCTCGCAGCCTAACTGGACCCCTTTGCTCCATTTGCCCAGGCAGAGCAGTGTGTGACGTCGCAGTCGATCTATACAGATGCTGTGACCAGCTATGCAGCAGCTTTGCATGTGCCCCTGCATCCAAAAACTTGCCTGAAGTTGTCGCTTGACGCCATTCAGTGTAGTCTATACATTGGATTTTTTGGAGATGTGCCTGGCTACAAGTTACAAGCATCCCAGCAATCACCACTGATTCGGGCAAAGCAATCTCTAACCACCACATCATTGCAAACTACAAGATACATAGCAAAAATCATCAGTCATGTTTGTGGACAAAAATTTTAGCTGACGTCACCGATCCATTGGTTGCGTCCCATTCTCAGGCTTGCCGCGGACCTTGCCATCCTACAAGGGACCTTGCAAGGTGTTGCGAAGTACCTGCCGTGCAGCCAGAAAGATTTTTGGCTGACAGGGTTGAAAGGGGTGCGGTGGTTTATCGTGTCAATGCCCAGACGTATTCTGCCAAAAGGGATTCAGAATGTATTGGTGGAGATTCAAGGCGTGCAGTTGTTGCGGGCATCTGCTGCGGGAGAGGCATGGGGTTTTCTGTTCTTATTCCTGGCGTGGCGTCGTTTTAAAGGTAGCTGTAAATGCCGTCGTACCGACATCTTGAGCGCGAAGGTGCTGGGAGTGAAGCGTTTGACCGTTATGAATGCCAACACATCTGGCGCTGCGCCTGCAGCAACTACAGCATCATGCTCAGGGTGTTGATGGGACTGATGTTTGTTTTTTTCTGCAGCACCTTGAGTGTTCAGACAAGTTTAGATGCATCATGCAAGAGGAAACGCCTCACTTTTCGAGTGAGGCGCTGCACTTCGCATCTCTTCATGGCCATGTTGAGGTCGTGAGGCAAGCTTGTTTCTGGAAGTCTAGCCTCGGCCTGCTCAATGTTCGCCCCAATCCAACAAAATTCCACAGGAATTTGATAGATCGCCGGGCCAACGTGAATGCCCTGGATGACCATGGCTGGGCTCCTCTTCATTTAGCAGCCGCAGCAGGCATGGGTCACTTGCCTTTTTTGCAAGTGCTAGGCCTGGTTGAGCGTGACACTATCCTCTATAGTAGTTGGAACAAGGCCGCGTTGGAGTGATGAACCTGCTAATCGAAGCCGGCGCAACTCTGACGCATTTCAGTATATGACTTCTTGTGAAATATACAATATACTGAAGCCTCCAACCTGATAGCGATGGCCTCCAACCTAATTTCAGTATATTACATAGATTGTGTACATTGCCTCTCGTCATTCTGCAAGCTGCATTTGCCCTGTGTGACTTGTAGGGATCCAGGATGCTTTGCCAAAGTCTCATAATGTCTCATAACATCATGCAATCAAATCAATCAGCTGTCCTGTGTATACTACTTTGTACACTATGCCAGGCAGTCCCTGATCAACGATCACCTGATGGTGTGCAATTCCGGTTGCTTGTGCACTAACTTTATAAGCTTTGCAAGTTTTTTGTACTTCCACGCACCACCTGGAGTCGGCAATCCCTTGTACAAAATAGGTACTCCCCATGATGTCGCTCTGAGAACATTGTATGTCACTCAGTCGAGCTTTGCTGGAATTGAAGGAATATTTGGCTTTGGCCTGAAATCATCGTGCTTTGCACTTTTGCAAGAAATGCCAATGACATGCAACACAGTTGAAAGAACCACATACAGAAGATGTGAGCCGCCTTCACAGGGAAGCGATGGCCCCCCACCCAAGAGCGATGCCCTATCAGAACATGAAGGTTGAACGTTGTCCAAGCGTATGTTTGACATGTGTTTTTATTTTTATTTTTTAAATTAAATTAACGTGGTTCTTGATTTGAAAGGTAATTCCACAGTCATTTGCCTTGGGGCCCAAACTCGGGGATTGAATCGACACCCTTAGCAATGCGCATGCGATACCCCAAGCTTGCCCGCTTAAACATCACCACTCCACAGGCAACTGAGCGACCGTTTTTCTATAGACTTCCATGTTAGATCATGTTAGTATTGATTTCCCAATGTCAGCGGGTAGTGACCGGGAGATGCAGCTTCCAAGTTGGTGACCGGGAGAGTATACGACTAGGTTGGTTTGCAACCAACAAAGATGTTGCGGTACCAGCTTGGTGAATGCTCTTAGCTGCTGGCGAAGCTCTTCTAGTATTAGCTGGGCTTTGCTGTTACCTTCGACTCGAGTGAAGCTTGTTTGTTTGTTTGTTTGTTTGTGTCAAGCGTATGCCCACTTCACTAGTCCTAGATGCCATGGTGAAGAGCTTTGACTTCACTTTGGCTCAAGAGCAAAAGCTGCCACTTCGTGTCTCGGGAATAGTGAACCTTTGACATCAGTTTGCTGTTAGGTAAGGAGAGTAGGGACTTCAAAGTTTACATGGTAGCGGAGCTCTGGCTCCTTGCTCCGGTAGGAACTTCTGAACCTCGTAATGGCTTCTCTAGAAAGTGAGCTAGGAGGAAAGATCCGACTCCCACTTCCGAAAGAGTTCAATGGCGATCCTTCTGATTGGGAAGAGTGGGGGTGGAACTTCAAGAGGTACATGGCGATGTTTCAGAGGTAGTGGACCTGCTTGAGAGATCTTCGACTTCAACGGTCCCCATTGTAGACGATCACTTCACTCCTTTGGCTAGAGATCAAGAACATGCAGAGTCCATTGTAAAGTTTTCTAGGAAACTTCACTACATGCTAGCGCAGCTTTGTGCAGGTAGTGCCAGACTTTTGGTCCGCCAGAATGTGGGCAACAATGGCTTTGAGACATGGCGTAGACTTCACGAAAAGTTCTCACTTCCCGATGCCACAAGACATGTGTCACTTCTTACGAGACTTTTGGGTTGGAACTTCAAAACTGAACCGTTTGAACAGGATTTCAATGCCTGGAAACAGTCAAAGCCAAGTACGAGCAACAGACCGGGCAAGCACTTCCCGACTCAGTCCTTGTGGCAACTCTCATGAACAAGACTTCAGGAGCACTTCAGCAACATCTCAGGTTGAATGCCGCTAGCTTGACTTCTTACGACCTCGCTCGAGACGTGATCGCGCAGTACTTCAGGAGTAGGCTTATCCTGGGACAAGGTGGCAGCAGTTCGTCGTCGACTTCGGGTCCGGCGCCAATGGATGTAGGCGGAATGAACTTCAAAGGAGGTAAAGGTAAAGGAAGAGGAAAAGGACATTGGAACTTCATGAAAGGTGAAGGCAAAAGTAACGGAAAGAGGCACTTCGGTGGCAGCAGCAAAGGAAAAGGAAAAGGCAAGAACTTCGGTTCCAAAGGTGTAAAAGGAATGGCAAAAGGCAAGACTTTGTCAAGTAGTGTTGAAGGTGGTAAGGGTCCGGCTTGCTGGACTTGTGGAAAGCCAGGCCACACTTCGCGTGAGCGTTTGAGGAATCGTGTTGGAGTCGTCGGAGAGGCTACTTCGGTGCCCTGTGAACAGGTTGATGGTGACACTTCATACGTGGGTAGTGAAGATGGTCCTTGGATTCATGACGACTTCTCATGGTATGTAGGAGCAGTAGATGATTTCAGCTGTAGCGAAGAGGACTGGGATGAGTCTTTTTGGTATGATGGTGAGTGGTTTCAGGAACCCTGGGACTGGTAGTGACTGGACTGCAGCAGCCAGTTCAGGTCCAAGGAACGAAAGAACAGCCAGGAACTTCGGGTCAGAACACTTCAGGTGGAACCGTGGGAGCAGTTGGCGCGAGCACACTTCCAGAGTCGTCGGCAGGACTTCGGTTTCAGGTTCCAGCTCTGTACTTCTGTCAGCGGTTACCTTGGGAGTGTTTGGACTTGGTACTTCCATGACCGTGGCTCCTTTGACTTCACTGTATTTGTGCGACCCAGTTCATCAAGATGTGCACTTCACAACGCTTGAGCAGGTTGGTCTAGGGCATCTTTGACCTCAGGTGGAAAGCTTTCCGGACCGTTTGCTTGGCTTCCACATGTCAATTGCTTCAGCTGTGAACACTTCTTGGTTCCTTTTTGACAGCGGTGCAGCATCTCACTGCTGCCCACGAGACTTCGCAGCTGACTGGCCCCTGCTTCCTCTGGAAGGAGGTAGACCTCCACTTCGGAGTGTAACAGGTCAAGCCATTGAACTTTACGGTAGACGACTTGTGGGATGTAGGATCAACAGTGTGACTTGCGCACGAACATTGAGTACCCAATTGTTTCTGTTGGACGACTTCTTTCACAAGGTTTCAAAGTCACTCTGGAAGAACATGATATGGCGCTTTCAGTCTCCTCATGGTCGAACAATTGAACTTCATCGGAACGGTTCTTATTGTTCACGAAACCTGAGGTACTTCCTTTTGACAGAGACCACTTTGAATATGCTTGCATTCACTTCCACGAGCAATTCCGACCGAAAGAGAACGACCAACAAATCGTTGCCCTAACTTCTGCTTCTGTCAAACCAGTGTATTATCATACTGATAGATGGCAACTCGACACTTCACGAAATATGTTGGTTTGAATTCAGTATCATAAGAGACCGCGACGGTCACTTTTTGGGACGGAACTTCAGATCGACCCATTGGTTTGGAAGAGCCGGCAGAGCAGAGAAAGACTTTCCTTCACTTCGACGATGGAACTGAGCAGGAACTTGTTGACAACTGGCGCACTTCGGATGCTCCCGGAAAATTGTTTGACAAGCGCTGGAAAGGTCGAACGGAATTTTAATTGGCGTCCAAAACTACTGGCAGACGACTTCCACAGAAGACCAGTACGTTGCCAAGGCGCGTAGTCACTTTTGAGTCAACTTCAGACGCCAAGCCGCTCATGTCAGGAAAGACTGTCACTTCGGAATAGCCGCCTACCGCCTACTTCGCTTGCCAGGACTCCAGGTCCCGGCAGTGCACTTCTCAGACGCCTTGCAAGGATTCCGGAGGACAGTGTTGCCGACTTCCGCCAGTGTGTTCTTGACTTCTGCGAGCATGAAGATCCTGACACATGCAGGACTTCCGTATACGCACGATTTTTGGGTCATGACGCAGTTGTACTGGATCCGTTCCCACTTCATACCGCGTTCCATGCTCTTCGTCCCCACTGTGGACGATGCAGCCGGAGGTCCGTCACTTCACGAGTTGGGAAGGAAGAGATTCACACTTCTGATTGCTCAGGAGGGTCTCTCGAAGCGACCTGTGCTTCAGTGCGATTACTCTTTCATCAGTGATCCTCGGACTCCGTCGTCGGAACAGCTTGTACTTCTCAATGTGCACGAGGTTCTGACCGGACTTGCCATGAGTTGCGTGGTTCCTTCTAAAGGCTTTGCCAGATATGCTGCAGCGGAACTTCGCCGCTTCATCTTGGAAACTGGACGCGCTTTCGGGACACTTCAATGTGACCCTGAGCCGTCCTTGATAGCCTTTGCTGAGCATGTTTTGTCTGAGGTTGGAGGCCTCTCACTTCGAAAGAGCCCCACGGCTTGGAAGCAAGCGCAAGGAGCTGTTGGAAACGCCCAGCCACTCCTGTACGCGCAGATCCGTACACTTCGTCTCGATGTCGAGAAACGGTGCAGCTGCAAGCTTGAACTTCAAAGCCCTTTGTTTCCTTGGTTGGTCAAGCGTGCGCAGTTCTTGTTGAACCGCTTTGCACTTCGCTCTGACGGAATGACTCCGTCCGTATGAGCGACGATGGACAAAGCGGTACACTTCTCCGCTTTGCGTGTTCTGTGAGGTTGTTCTTGTGCGACTTCCTAGTCACGCGTCCAAGGCGAACCCAGCTTGGGTTCCGGCTTTGTGGCTTGGAAGAGATACTTCGTCGAACCAGCGCATCGTTGGAACTTCTGACGGCGTCTTCAAGATCCGCAGCTTGCGGAGAGTTGCCGTTGAGGAGCAGGTGAGCCCTGATATGTTCAAGGGCTGCAAAGGCACCCCGTGGGACCCACGCGGACGTGAAGCCGAAGAGACTGGTGACTTCACCCAGCTGGGTCTCCCACTGCCTGCTTTTAAAGCGACTTCCACTAGCGCTACGCAGGTGTCTCTTCAGGGTGCGAGTGCCGGCGAGGCTGCGACTTCTGACGTTGCGATGCCCGCCACGGCTCCGAAACGGACTTCGGAACAAGCCCAACTTAGCGACACAGCTGAGCCTGCAAAACTTGTTCCAGCGTGTCGGACCTATATACTTCTGGTGACCGCAAGCGTATGGTCTCGCAGAGTGCAGAGGTCAGCGACACCAAACTTCACAAGATGTCCGCAGTTGTCTTTGATGACTTCCGCTCCGGCATTGTCACTTTGCCTTTCACTGTGGCGAGTGTGACCAGCAAGCAAGGACTTCAAGTCCCTGTTGATGTAAATAAAGAGCACGACGAGGAACTCCAGTCACTTCGTGCTTCAGAGCCAGTTCTGTGGTACGACGCTGAGTTCGATCGTGAGCAAGAGATTGAAGGCATGAAAAAGGAAATGCAGTCGTTAACCGACTTCCAGGTTTACGAGGAAGTTAAGTTGGAGAACTTGACGGAGCCATTGCTACCAAATGGGTCAAACGACTGAAAGGAGATGGCGTGAAGTGCCGCGTGTGCGTCCGCGGGTTCGATCAAGACTTCGATCCTGATGAGATTTTCGCGTCAACACCGTCACTGACAACGCTCAAGGTACTTCTTACCCTGTGTACTGCTTTCAACTGGCATGTGATTGCCGGAGACGTGTCATGGCCTTTTTGCACGCTGCACTTCTGGGTCAAACTGTGTAGGTTATTCCGCCGCCAGAATTCTACCCTCAAGGGGGCGTACTTTGGAAACCTCGGCGCGCTATGTACGGGTTGAAGCAATCTCCCCATGCTTGGCAGGAACACGTCAGCGTTGCGTCGGCCCTCGGTTTTAGCCGCCTGAAAGCCGACAGCAACCTCTACTTCCACGAAGAGAGGAAATGCTACATGTTGTGCTACGTTGACGATGCAACAAACAGCGCACGGAGTTTTTGTTTGCCTCACTTCAGGAGAAGCTTCTGTTGCGCCGCGAAGGTACACTTGAGCTAGGTAAGCAAATCAACTTCCTTGGTCGCACCATCTCTCGTAAGTCAGACTGTGTTGAGATTTCCATGTCAAATTCTTACATTGATGGCACGCTTGAACTCCTATATATGTATGCAAGCCGGCTGCGACGCCTGGCACGCACTTACATCGCAACCTGATTAAATCTGAAGACCACCGAATCTTTCGAAGAGTTGTCGGTCAACTTCTCTGGTTGAGTGCTATTCGTCCGGACATTCAACTCGCTGTAAAGGAACTTTCTCGCGGGTTGACTTCGCCTACTGAAGACCGCAAGACGAATTCGGTACCTTGCAGGAACGAAGGACTTCGTGATGACGTTCCGACCCAAGGTCTTTCCACATGTGAAGCAGACTTCGCTGGATGTAGACACGTTCGTTGACTCGGACTGGGCAGGTTGTAATGCGACCAGGCGCAGTACTTCAGGTATGGCGCCGTACTTTTTAGGTACGTTGATCACTTCTCAAAGCCGCGCGCAGCAAACAATCGCCCTTTCGTCGGAAGAAGCCGAGCTTTACGCAATCGACCATGGAACTTCGGAAAGCTTGTTCATCAGGTCACTTCTTCTTGAGACGAACCTTGCTAAACGAGATTAAACGAGTAAACATCCGACTTCACACCGACTCCACTGCAGGAAGTCGATGGCCACAAGATTTGGAACGTTCTTCAAAGAAAACCAAACATGTTCAACTTCGTTTCTTATTTGTACAGGAACTTGTGGCATCGGGCATAATTCAGGTGAAGAAGGTCTTGGGAACTTCTAACCCAAGTGATGTTCTAATTAAGTATGTCGCGAAAGAGACACTTCTTCGCCATCTTGGAACCCTAGGCCCTAGGCGTAGGTGTGACTTCTAGCAGAGTACTCTAGGACTGTCTTTGTACAGTTCGGAGTTGAGGACCTAACTTCGTTTAGAGTTTTAAACTCCTGACCTGACAGCAAGAGACTTCTTTTGGTTTTGTGTTTTTGTTTCCCGATTGATCCCGAGGAGATACCTCACTTCGCCACCGCCGCTGTTTGAACTTCGGTTGTCTCACTTCGATCGTACGATCACTGCCATGGTTTGTTTTACTTCACTGCTTAGCGCTGGACTTCAAAGCTGTATTTTCTTTGGAACTTCACACCGGAAGCCTTACGGGCAAATCTGGAGAACTTCCCCTTCGGCGCGATATTTTGAGCTTCGAACTTCAATCATGAAAGGAAAGGGTCAAAACATTTCAAGTTTGACGTGCAACTTCATGATGTACTATGCAATGGCAGTCCGTCCAGAGGACTTCATTGACACGCTGTGGGACAGGCGCGAGAGCATTATCTGTCCCAACGGCACTTCAGGGAGCACGTTTCAGCAGATGGCGCTTCTCTTCCAGTTGCAGACTTGCAGACTTTATTTCCGGGACTTCAGCATCAACTTCACAGTGGCCACTCATTCCCTTATACTGAGCATGAGATTTTTTCCAACCTTCAAGCCCCTCACTTCATTCAACAGCCTGCTGACTTCACCAAGTGCACCTCCACCAAGTGCACACTTTCTGAACGATGAATGGGGGCTTACGCCCAGAATTGTACTTCTGTCTGCCAGCTGCCTATTTGGAAACTTCGCAGACACGTATCGGTCAGATGGTGGTGCAGCAACACCACTGGCCGAACGCACTTCTGAGCGACTATGACATGTCGTGGAGCGACAGGACGATGAACTTCGCTTTCGCTCCACGATCGGCACTTCTGTTTCATTTGTGGGGCTGTTGGATGTGTCTTGATCAGGGAATTCCACTTCCCCATGCTGTGATGAATGCACCCCTGATACTTCTTAGCTTCAGGTTGAGCGCGCCGCGTGTTCTGCAAGGGCGTCAATCTGAAACAAGGAGCTTCTGGAACAGACAGTTTTATGACTATATACTTCCTTAGCGTGTGGTCAATGTTGAATTTGAACATGACAGAACTTCAGAGTATCCACTGCTATGTCGCGGATTTCAGTTTCGCCGCAGCTGCGACAAGATTTTTTGCGGGACTTCCTCATCGCCAGAGGTCTCGAGATGGGAACTTCTGTCTCTGCACGGGCATTCCACTCGCTATTAATATGGAATGGAGGAATGGCCTGTTTTCATTGATATCCGGATCACTTCAGCCGTCTCTGCGCGAAACTTCCATGTGATGAACCGAGCCAGAATGCGATTTCATCATGAAGGCGCGTGAGAAGAGGGCTCAGAGTTCAGAGGACTTCAGAGCTTAGATTGAAAGTCGAAACTTGGCACCTCTTGCGCTTCACGAAGCTTTGGCGCAAGACTTCATGATTCAAAGTAGACTTCATGTTCAGTTTGAACTTGAATACTTCAATTTAAATATTGATGGTACAGACTTCATGGCAAACTGATCGAACTTCATTTGCGCAACGAGCTTGATGTGTCAACTTCCTTGAACCTTTTGATTTGTAAATTCGGGAGTTTGAGACTTGTGAAGCATCAAGAATGGACTTCACTTGAACTTCACGTGGCATGATTTGTAAAAGGACTTCAGTGATGTACGGACTTCTTCGTGTACACTTCGAGTCCGAGGGGGCGTGTCAAGTGTATGCCCACTTCACTAGTCCTAGATGCCATGGTGAAGAGCTTTCACTTCACTTTGGCTCAAGGGCAAAAGCTGCCACTTCGTGTATCGGGAATAGTGAACCTTTGACTCGACTTCAGTTTGCTGTCAGGGAAGGAGAGTAGGGGCTTCAAGTTTGAGTGCTTGCGCTCATAGTTACACACACTTGTTTGGTTGAAGCGCCTACCTTTACTAACTGCCAGAAAGGGTGCCTCCCTTCCAAGCTGAAGTCTAAAGTTGTTGGAAGCGATGGCCCCCCAATCTATGTGACTGCAAAAAATTGAGCAAGGAGTTTTGACAGCCGCGCATAATCACTAATACCTTCACAATAAGGAATTTGCTTGACAAAAATAGTTGAACAAGGTACGGGCTAGTTTTGGTGTTTCGTCGCTGACGCAGCCGGCTTCTTTCCCAGGCTGCCCGAACAGGAAATGCAAGTCGTGGCAGCTCTAGCTGAGCATGTTCGGGTCAGGCTCCCAGGATATTCAGTGAAGACAAAACACATTGGACACGGAGGATCCTTTAGACTGAACGGAGAAGAGTGATCCTCAGTCCTTGACAACACCCGAGTGATATGTGATGTGTTTCTGTCGATTCTCAACAGTGTAACAGTGCTGAGCCAAGAAGGCATTTTCCTGAGCAAGGAGAGGCACACAGCTTGTCGCCGTGCTTCCGCATTGACTGCTGCAGGCCTTGCGCAATGAAATGAACTTCACGAAGATCGAATGACAGAAAAGTGTGGCAAACGTCGTCAGTTTTGCTTTGACAAAGGGCACACCCTCAATGTGTTTGTCACACATAGCAGCGCCCAGCTCAGCTCGCGCGGTAGCTGGTTCTTCACAAGATTGGACAGTTGTTGATTGGCATTGTGGCTCGAAGCTTGCGGAGATAGGAGGACTGTCAGACGCACCGAATAAGGCTAGCCCAACCGCACCCTTTGTAGAATCTTGGAGTTGCTGTTGCTTGTGTTACATGGCAGTTGTCGGATGACCAGGCGGGATATTTTCCTGACAAAGCGCTCCAAGATGTTCACGTCAGCGGTGTCCACTTCAGTTGTGGTCTCAACAACTTGCCGATTGTGGTGCTAATTTATTGGACAGCTGTTGTTCCAAGATGTCACGCGTCTCCAACTTGTTTGGCCGAAATGAGATGTACCAGGAGCACTTCCCCTTTTCTACACATTGGAGCTTTCTGTCCAAGCATGTTCACGCTGCCTTGAGAAGACCATCCAAACAGCGGAAGGAGCAAACCGACTTCTTCAATGATGACAATCAGGCACAGCTGAAATGAGTCAGCTTATCTTTACTCCTCGTTGTGCCTGTGCTGTGACGTGAATGCCGGCAGATTTGGACAGCCCAAGAAAGCGAACGAAGGACGTCCGTGCCGCGCTCAACATGCCAGTTTTTTCGCCTTAGCCAATGTGGAGTCGCTTTTCGTGGCCAGGGTGACAAATTGGGACCATGGAGCCGGGCAGAGGTTGGGACCATCCTTGCCGATGTTTGCAATACCAAAGAATATGAACCCATATGAATGTGTGGCTTTCTTTGGTTCTAGCAGTGATAGGAGTTACTTAAGTGGGAAACCGCATTGGCAAAACCAGTAGTGGGAGATACGAAAGCTCAAGCTGAGTTCACAACTTAGACTATATTCTATTGAAGCCTCCTCCCACTTCACCGTCCAGCTATTCTTGCCTAACTCGTTTACAGAACTATTTGACTATTTGGTGATTTAATGCTCATCAAGGAAATACCAAATACCATCCAATATTAGATCTGGCGTGCGATTTCCAAAGGGTGTATTGGCAGGCCAGATATCCATTGTATTTCTTTGGTGGTATGACATATGCTTTTTCTGTGAAGAGTTTTCAATGTAGATCATCAGTGCCTTGTAGTATACTTTTCACCCGCAGCCCGCTTTCGGATGACAGGAAAAAGTTTGCAGAGGATAAGGGTAGCTCCAGAGGAAAGCCCCTACGTCACAGGGTCCGGGGTGCGCTTGAGCCATAGATTTGGGGCCTTTGGAACCCAAACTGCTAAGCTGTTGAAACTGCTGCGAGCCGCACCTTGTACACCGTACATTGTGTGAGTTGGACAATATTGCTTTGGGACAATGGGTGAGACAAGAGAAATCCTGGAACAAGTTGCCAGATGCACACAAGCAGCAGCAACAGCAGTAGAGGCAGTGAAGAAAGCTGTTGAAGATAAGAAGACGAACGCAACAGATTGGTCAAAGCTGATCACAAAGCTTGGCTTATTTGAACATAAGTCACAGGAAGAAGAGGTCCATGGGTATTTGAGAAATATCTCAGCTCAGTGGATGAGGCTTACATGAAGGACTTGAAAGAGGTTCATGACAAGCCAAATGACAACTTTGACATGGATTTGGCAACAGGAGAAGAGAAGATCAGGCGCATCAAGTCGTATGGATTGCTAGCTTCGTTGATGAGAGCAGGGCACTACAATTGGTTAAAGCTGTGGGGGACTCCAATGGATTTGATGCCTCAAGGGGTTTAAGCAGAGCCTTGAAGCCTACATCAAAGGCGAGAGGATTAGCACTTTTCGGAGCAGCCAATACATGGCCAGTGTGTTCAATGAATAGTGCTCTACAACCTCAACTTCTCAAGCTGGAAGAGGTATTTGAGGAGACGGTCAAGTCATGGACTGCAGTTCAGGAAGAGCTGCCATCAGCTGTTCTTTTGAGATGTGTGGGTGGACAGCCGTGGACAGCTCAAATCCTACTTCCTTTTGACGATTGGTGACAACGTTCCCTACTCAACTTTGTGGGAACAAGTGTTGCGTGGGACCCTTCTCAGCAGAAGTCGGCTACTTGTTCCATGGTCACAAGTAGCAGTACAGACTACCAAGGACCCATGCCTATGGACGTTGATCGAGTTCCGGATGCAAAGGAAAGGGCAAGAAAGGTAAGAATGATTACCAGAAGGGCAAAGGTAAAGATGCCAAAGGAAAAGGAAAGAAACGAAAAGGAGAACGGCAGAAAGGACAGGAAGGTGATCAGACGGGCAAAGGTAAGTGCAAAGACCAGAAAAGGAAAACACCTGCGGGATGCCCGATACAGTTGGTCAACCACAAGCCAATGTATCTCAACAGAGTAGTTCAGCAGAGACCAAACCAGTTGTCAGAAGGGTCGAGAAGAACGAGCCAATCATTTTCGGCCTACGATAGAGGCATGAAGATTCAGAATTTCATGGAATTCGATTGGTTCACTTCTTCATTGGAGATGATGACGATGATGAGCCATGGAAAGAAAGAGAAAGCCTGCTCGAAGAGACCTTTCAGGAGGTTGAGAATGAGAAGCCCAAGGTGAGAAGACTTGGAGAAGAGAGAGATGATGTGGCCATCATTATGGACTGTGGAGCTGATGTAGCTTTATTTGCTTTGCGTATGGCAGATCACGGGGAAGGAGAGCTAGAGTTGAATTCAGCGGCCAAATTGTAAGATGCCCAGTGGGGTCGCATCCCCACCCAGGGTGCGAAAAGTGTTGTGGCCTTCTTGCGCGACATTGATGGACACGAAGTGCTTCTCAAAGCGAATGTGATCTTCAGTTCAAAAAGGAATCGGCCCATACTTTGTTATGGAAGACTGATGGAGCGCGGTTGGGGAATCAATGGTCGAGAGCAGACATTGGAGAATGGTGACTTGAAGGCGCCGCTTCATTTGCAAAATCGCTCTTTGACAGTCCAAGGCCACGTTATAGAGTCATTCGAGATGAAGATGAAGGAGCTTGGAGGCGCAAGTTCCTGAAGCTTTGGAGAAAGCTGCAGGTTGGAAGTTCAATGAACATGGCTTGCTCGTTGGAAGCTTGTTGACTCCAAGATTTGTCGATCCCACTTTCATTCCAGAGGTGGAAGACTCATCAGAACTGATGAGAACCACTTCGGTGAAGAGAGGAGGTCGATGGCTCATGCCTGAATATTGTGATGAAGAAGGAGGAGCCTGATGAGCTGTTCTTTGATGACGACGCAGTCATTCCTTCAATCACAATCCTCAGCTACGAGCCATAGGGGTAACCTCTCAAGACCAGAAAGACTCAGAGTGCGAGTTTCAATTGAGCCCAATGGATGTAGACAAAGCCGCGGTTAATGGAGTAGAGTTGACGAGAGTTGACCAAGGGTTCTACTTTGGCAACATTGAGGCCAGCGTGATCATTTCTCGGCATCTCAGGTAGCAGCTCTAAGTTGAAGGTCTATACCAAGATCCTCAATCGCAACAAGAAGAACTTATGAAGGCCAAAAGTCTGGCACGTGAAGCAAAAGCTCAAGATACGAGAGAAGCATTAGGACAAAGTGTTGCCAAGATGCCAGGTGAAGCAACTCAAGCAAGGCGCAGATTTACGCAGACGCACCTACCATATGCCAATTGGTGTAAGGAGTGCGTCGAGCGCCGAGCGCGCCCAGATCGTCGTGAGAGGACAGGTGGAACCAAGAGAGGAAGCGTCCCTGAGGTGAGCTTTGACTTCTGCTACACCAGAGCAACAGTTTCAGAAACCAAGTCAGCAAGAGCAGTATGTTGGCTAGTTGCAATTGACAGCCAGACTGGATTCATTCATGTTGCGCCGCTAGGAAGCAAGAATAAAATTCGTCTCATTGTGCAAAAGAGTATGAACTTCAGTCAGACGTTGGGGTATCCAGCAATCACCTACCGGAGCAACAATGAGGCTACAACGTCACAGTCTACGACAAGGTTGAATCATTCGAAGCTGGGAGATCAGTCATTTCTGTCAGAAAACACTGCGGACAGAGTAAGGAAGCTCGCAGGAAGTTTCATTGAAGGTTTGCTATCAAAGCTTGGTATCAAGGTAGGATCAAATCATGCACTTTGGACTTGTGCAGCAAGACATGCCATTTTGGTGTTGACTCGGTTTCGGCCAGCCAGGCTTAAGCATGCCGCTCCGTATGAGCTCGTCTATGGCAAGAGTCACAATGGACTCCTGAAGCTTCAATAAAGCAGAAGCACGATGACTTATGCTTATTCCTGCGGAAAGTGGAAAGCCAGGGTACCTATGTCTTGACAGACGCACCAGAAGAACAACCAGGATTGGTCCAAGTACCTGGCGAATTACAAAAGCTTCAATGCCTTTTCATGGGAGTACCAGGCGAACTCTGGAGGCAGAATCATTGCCACCAAGAGCGGTGCAGACAGACATTCTTCTTCGAGGGCGTGTGATGTTGAAATTCGATGATGAAGATGCAGAAGCTGTTACGGCAAAAGCTCTTGAAGGAGGACGTGATTCAGAGAAAGAACAAGCATTACGCCCGTGAAAGTTAACGTTTTCGCCAAAAATTATATTTTCCCCCACATCTTAGTGTGGGGTTCTTCTTTTCTATGTCTCATCCCGCTTCGCTTCTCCCGCCCCTCCGCCCCTCCTTCCACACACGCTCACACAGAGATCACACACACAGAGACCACACACACCGAGACCACAACACAGAGATCACACACACAGAGATCACACACACCGAGAATCACACACACACCGAGACAACACATACCGAGACAACGCGCACAGAGATCACACAGAGATCACACACACAGAGATCACACACACAGAGATCACACACACCGAGGATCACACACCACTCATCACACACCACTCATCACACACCACTCATCAC